CGTGGGGGGCAAAGCCAACGGCGCTCCCCCGACGAAGATTCTGCCTGCGGGTGCCGGACTGGCCATGCTCACACCGGCAAGCTCCAGCCCGCGGGCTCCTGCGCAGGGACGGTCACTAGGTAGCTGGAGGGCACGTAGCCTCTCTGGCCGTTCACATCCACCAGGCTCCACTCCTTGCTCCCCTTCTTGTCGTGCGGCTCCAGCACCACCACAGGCTGCCCTGCCTGGAGGCTGACCTCCTGCGGACTCCTGGCTGCGAAGGAGAAGCCAGCGACCACCTGCGAAAGGCAGGGGAAGGAGGGGGGAAGCCCTTGCTGGAGGCGAGACTCAAAGCGGGGCAGGACAGATGTGGCAGGGCAGGACCTAGAGGGGACATGGAGGCTGCTTCCAGGAGGGCAGCACAGTCCTGCCGTCGATGAAGGGACACTGGGGACCCACCAAGCACAGTTCTCTTGCTCTGTCCACCCCAGGTCCCAGCAAGGCAGAGACCAGCATCGCCAGGCACTTGGCCGGGGACGGTGACGCTCCCCTGCTAGGCACATGGCTGCACGTGCATGACCGCGTGTGTGCTGGAAAAGCAGGTCCACCTTCCCACCCACACACTGCACACACAGGGACCAGCATGGAGCTGGTGGGGTTGCTAGGAATGCCCTGGGGGTGTCCCCCGCTCTCACCTGGAAAGCTGGAGCAAAGGCGGCCACCTGGACCTTGGGAGCTTCAGGCGATGCATATGAACATCGCCTTCTCTCTGTGACGCTCTCCGGGGCTGGCAACTGCATCCCGAGCTGCTGGCTTTGTTCTGGACAAAAGGGCTGGAGCTTTCCGGCAGGCACAAACCCTCGGGGACCTGGAGGACACACACACACAGGTCATGGGGCCCTGCTGCCTGGCACGTGTAGGACTGGTTGGAGGAGAGAGGAATGACAACTTGGCTGTTGCCTGGCATGGCACAGCAGCCCTGTTTGAACTGGTCCATCACTAGGGGATATCCAGCAGCAAAACCCCTCAAAAAGGAGCTTGAAGTGTTTCTGTGTGTATGGGGTTCTCCTTTCCCAGCCGTGATAAGCTGCAAGTGCTCCCACATGTGGAAACCTGAACTACGAGTGCAGCTGGCAGAGCAGAGGTGGGTTAGGGCTGAGCAAACTGGACGACCCGGGAGGCAACGGCCTGCTGTTTCACCCAAGGTGAGGAAGTGGTTCGTGTTTGGTTTCTGACCCGGGTGCTGAGGCGGGGTAGTGCTCACAGTACCTCCAGCATCCACCAGCCATCTGCTTGTGTTGCCCTTGGTGTCCACGCTTTGCAGCAGAGCTACAATCTGTCCCCTTTGCAAGGTCAGGTCCAAGTCTTTGCTGCCACTGATGTTGCTTGTCACTTGGTAAAGTTTGTCTGGGCCGTGCTTGCTCACAAGGGAAAGGACCTTCCGCTCTTCGGCAGGGTTCAGAGGCTGGTGGGGAGCAAGAGAGACAGGAGCGCGTGATGAGACAGGCGGGAGACTGAGGGCCTCCACGTACATGTGCTCTCCTTTCCACAGGATCACGTCCCAGTGAGAGGTTAGAGGAGAAACTACTTCACACTATCTGCTCTGCCTCATGGTTTGGAGACGAGTGTCCAGAACCAGAAAAGCTGAGACTATTTCACCCCCGTTTATTCCCAGTCAGCCAGCTGCTTTCAGGGGCTTGGGGGAAATACTGTGGCTGTGGCAACCCCCCGTGCCACTTTCTGAGCCAACCTCCCCCCCCAAGGAGATGTTCTGCGCTGGGAAGCCGCAATCCTACCTCTTCACCCAGCTGGCCTGAGACACCCCCTTCCCAGCTCCTACCTGTGTCACAGGGCTCAGCGTGACCGTCTCAAAGGTCTGGCAGAAGGCACGGAGCTGAGCGCCAGACTGCTGCAAGGTGTCTTCCACCATCTTCCAGAAACCTGGCAGAGGCATGCAGCCGTGGGGCATCTGTGAACACAGACCCTGAGATCAGCGAGGACCCCGGGGAGGGGTAGAGCTGTGGGTAGGGTCCAAAGGAAAGGAGCAGGAAGAAAAGAGGTGAGAAAGCAAGAGAACAGACCTTGTCACTAAAGATGTGCATTGCATCTGGGATGTGGTTCCCTTTGGCAAGGAGAGCTGCTGCTGTCTGGCTTTGAGCCACCTGCCCCAGGCAGGGCAGTTGCACGCAGGGGTCCTGGGCTGTACCCAGCCCACTGCAGCAGTCCCTGTGTCCTGCTGTCCTGCCCCAAGCCAACAGCCCGTCCCATCTGACCAAAAAGGGACTCGTGGATGTAGCCCCAGGGTAGATGTCTGCAGCGTAAGCATCCCAGACTGAGCAAGGGGAGTCCCCCCTGATGACTAGGTACGTACAGACAGTGCTTGAGAAGATGCCTTCACGTGGCTACGTCTTGTTCTCACGTTGGTCACGGGTCAGGTCGGGGCTGCACTCTACCCCAGGGCTCTGGATGGCCTGACACACCACGTCTGCAAACGTTAGGCTCAGAGAGCGCTGCACAGTGTGGAGTCCTGGGAGGTATCTCCCAGGGGATGGAGATTCAAGGGAAGGGACGCTTGTTCCTCAGGCCAGGAGCCATCCTCCTCCTTGCCTTCCCAGCACAGAGCTCCGGGACCTCAGCGTTAACAGTGATCTCTCAGGCAGCACGTCAATAAATTACCAGTGGTGCCCTCAAAGAGAGAGCAGAACGGTTCCTGGCAGTGAAGAAGAGACGGTTTGGCTTTCCCCGGCCAGAAGGGAGGAGAGATCATTGACAAATGCTAGACAGGGAGCTGTGTGGCTGCAAGGGCAGGCTTGGGCTGCAGCAAGCCTCCAGCGCCCTGACATCCAAGCGATGTCTCAAGCCTGAAGAAGGCAGGTCTGGCTCAGCATGCGCGCCGGTTTCAGCACACGTGCCAAGGGGTCACTCTCACCTGCTCAAGCTCGTTTTCTGCCTGGTGCAGGACCTGAGCAGCCAAGTCCTGTTGCAGGGCACTGAGGGAGCACAGTATCTGCCCCAGGAGCTGCAGAGCTGCCTGGTTGAACTGCGGGAGCTCGGCCACGAGCAGGGCGTTGATGGCAAGGTAGGTGTTCATGGCTGCCTCCTCCTCGTACGTCACGCTGCCCATCTCGCTCTTC